GCCAGGACCCCTGGTTTGTTCGGGCTCAGACCTGGGCCTTCGTGGTATGAAGGATTTGAACGCTGCTGAGCGCGACTTCGCCTCCCTGAATTTGTCGACCACCGTCTCAACGGAGGTGCCAAACAGTTCAGAGGGCGAAACCGGGGCATCGAGAAGAAAGCCCCTTTCTTTCTTCTCGATGTCCGCTAAGTTCACCCACAACTGCCGCTCCGTCACCACCATAGCAGCCATCGCTCTGCCCATGGCAGAGGCTACCTGCTTAGTAGCCCGGAGGGCCAAGTCTGTGGTGCGCCGCAGCTCAGCCGTTTCACCAGGGGAAAGGCCCTGCCCCTCATCCAGGTCCTTCAGCAGGTCAGCCTGGTATGCCTGAAGCACTGCCATCGTGTGCAACGAAGCCACAGCCTGACCTGCCGCTGCGTATGCCTTGACGTTCGTGCGAGATGTGGCTTGAAGGGGCACGGATGGCAAGGAGGGAGTTTTGAGAGATGATGTCTCCCCCAGAGAGAGAAAGCTGGCTAGCGTCTCTTCCACCGGGGGCATCATTTCATAGCCGCTTTCGCGCATCGACTTGATGTTCGCATAACTCGTATGCTGAGACCGATATATGCGTGAGGAAAACGGCCTCTTCCATTCCTTCTCGATATTCCCTGCTCTTGTTGGGCTGGGCCCAACTGAGCACTGGCCCCTGGATCAGATGATATTAGAGAGAGGATATCATCGTCCAGCGGGTGTCTCTCGCCTGACGCCAATGCGCGGAAGAGGGGGAACGATACTACAATGCAAAGAGTTACACAAAGAGATATTCAGAATGTGAAGTATCACCTTCGAGGTGCAAGAACACAACCATTCATGTTCTGCATTCTGTGTTTATGGAGTGCTGTGAATTATACATTTATTCATGATGTGACATCTTTACCGCATTTTTAGTGGCTTGGGTACTGCTGTAACAGTATTCTCCTGCTGTAAAATCCTCCTCAGAACACGTCTGTACAGAGAGTATAAAAAGAGAGAGTGTGAGTTTTTGTTTTGATGCTGGATTATAAATGTGTGACAGAAAAAAGGCATGGGATGAAGAAGCGACATACTTTAATAAGGCTGTCCCACAGGTCTTCATTTCTGGCATTGCTGTACCTGAACCTCCGAAGGTACCGAATTATGCCACTCTGAAAGCCTTCGTTTGTCAAGAAATTCCTCAGCATATGGAGAATACATGCTCCCTAAAATATTCAGTAATAAAGCAGATCAATTTGATTAAATACAATTACTCAAAATGGTGAGAATGTTTTAACGTTGCTAAAGTATTTTTCCACCTTATCATATGACACTGTATCAAACATTTCCTTTATCTGAGTAGGGTTCTCAGCTAAACTGGAAATTGGCCTGGAAGAATTTAGAGAATCCCGTCCAATAGCTCCGAAACAGGTGTCCAGGAAGTGGTCCTCCTAACATGCAAAAGAAAGCATGTGAGAC